ATACATGTCGGGAATAGAACTATGCCTTCCTTGTGACAAGGCAGCAGTTTATCATCTACACTGCTGTCCTATACATGTCGGGAATAGAACTATGCCTTCCTTGTGACAAGGCAGCAGTTTGTCATCCACACTGCTGTCCTATACATGTGGGGAATAGAACTATGCCTTCCTTGTGACAAGGCAGCAGTTTATAATCTACACTGCTGTCCTATACATGTCGGGAATAGAACTATGCCTTCCTTGTGACAAGGCAGCAGTTTATCATCTACACTGCTGTCCTATACATGTCGGGAATAGAACTATGCCTTCCTTGTGACAAGGCAGCAGTTTGTTCATCCACACTGCTGTCCTATACATGTCTGGAATAGAACTATGCCTTCCTTTGTGACAAGCCAGCAGTTTATCATCTACACTGCTGTCCTATACATGTCGGGAATAGAACTATGCCTTCCTTGTGACAAGGCAGCAGTTTATCATCTACACTGCTGTCCTATACATGTCGGGAATAGAACTATGCCTTCCTTGTGACAAGGCAGCAGTTTATCATCTACACTGCTGTCCTATACATGTCGGGAATAGAACTATGCCTTCCTTGTGACAAGGCAGCAGTTTATCATCTACACTGCTGTCCTATACATGTGGGGAATAGAACTATGCCTTCCTTGTGACAAGGCAGCAGTTTATCATCTACACTGCTGTCCTATACATGTTGGGAATAGAACTATGCCTTCCTTGTGACAAGGCAGCAGTTTATCATCTACACTGCTGTCCTATACATGTGGGGAATAGAACTATGCCTTCCTTGTGACAAGGCAGCAGTTTATCATGTACACTGCTGTCCTATACATGTCGGGAATAGAACTATGCCTTCCTTGTGACAAGGCAGCAGTTTATCATCTACACTGCTGTCCTATACATGTCGGGAATAGAACTATGCCTTCCTTGTGACAAGGCAGCAGTTTATCATCTACACTGCTGTCCTATACATGTCTGGAATAGAACTATGCCTTCCTTGTGACAAGGCAGCAGTTTATCATCTACACTGCTGTCCTATACATGTCTGGAATAGAACTATGCCTTCCTTGTGACAAGGCAGCAGTTTATCATCTACACTGCTGTCCTATACATGTCTGGAATAGAACTATGCCTTCCTTGTGACAAGCCAGCAGTTTATCATCTACACTGCTGTCCTATACATGTCTGGAATAGAACTATGCCTTCCTTGTGACAAGGCAGCAGTTTATCATCTACACTGCTGTCCTATACATGTCTGGAATAGAACTATGCCTTCCTTGTGACAAGGCAGCAGTTTATCATCTACACTGCTGTCCTATACATGTCTGGAATAGAACTATGCCTTCCTTGTGACAAGGCAGCAGTTTATCATCTACACTGCTGTCCTATACATGTTGGGAATAGAACTATGCCTTCCTTGTGACAAGGCAGCAGTTTATCATCTACACTGCTGTCCTATACATGTCGGGAATAGAACTATGCCTTCCTTGTGACAAGGCAGCAGTTTATCATCTACACTGCTGTCCTATACATGTCGGGAATAGAACTATGCCTTCCTTGTGACAAGGCAGCAGTTTATCATCTACACTGCTGTCCTATACATGTCAGGAATAGAACTATGCCTTCCTTTGTGACAAGGCAGCAGTTTATCATCTACACTGCTGTCCTATACATGTCAGGGAATAGAACTATGCCTTCCTTGTGACAAGGCAGCAGTTTATCATCTACACTGCTGTCCTATACATGTCGGGAATAGAACTATGCCTTCCTTGTGACAAGGCAGCAGTTTATCATCTACACTGCTGTCCTATACATGTCGGGAATAGAACTATGCCTTCCTTGTGACAAGCCAGCAGTTTATCATCTACACTGCTGTCCTATACATGTCTGGAATAGAACTATGCCTTCCTTTGACAAGGCAGCAGTTTATCATCTACACTGCTGTCCTATACATGTCGGGAATAGAACTATGCCTTCCTTGTGACAAGGCAGCAGTTTATCATCTACACTGCTGTCCTATACATGTCGGGAATAGAACTATGCCTTCCTTGTGACAAGGCAGCAGTTTATTATCTACACTGCTGTCCTATATCATAAATTTATAATAACTCTCTGTGTGCAACATCATCTTCTTAGTTGCTGTTACACCATACTTACAGACTCCCCGTCCCAATTGTGTATGGCTGTATGTCAATGGTTTACAGATAAAGAAAATGATTTAGAGCCTTAGTGTAGAATGTTCGACTGAACTACTGTATTGCAACAAAGTTTTGCGAACATAATGATAAAGGATAATGATAAATAGTATAACATGATTTTCATGGTCAGTGTTGTTTGCTAAGCTAAAGCTCGGGACAGTGAACATTAATTTCACTCAGGACATATTTCCCGTAATCACTCGTACCTCGTGGGTTTTTTCTAACTATATGTCAGTGATTCATTCAGATTCAATTCCAGTATAAACATGTCTTAACAAGCTATTGCAAAATGAAACAAAATCATGATTTAGGTGAACTACTTGAGCTTAAAATCTCATGTGACCTCCAGTAACTAAGATCCTGGACTAGAATGTCATAATTATACAGTCCTACAAAATTTATAAGACTCTGGCCTTTATGATAACATATGTCCCATTATAAAACAAACAAAAATAACAAAATAATGTGAAATGATCACTCAGTGCAAGAGGCTCTACTTATAAGTCCAAATAAAAGATTGGTCAAATCTTAGAAGGGCATTTTGAAGTGGAATGCTTAAGAAAAGTAAGATTTATGGATGTCGACTTCTTTATTGTGAATGGCACGACGTTTCGGAGTGTATGCTTGCTCCTTCACAACAAGAAGTTGACATTCATAACTCATGCTTCTCTCAAAAGATTGGTGCATTTGAGGTCACTTCCACTTTTAAAGCAAATTTTGTTGCTATGGAAATAAAGGGCAGATAATTCAAAGTGAGCTAACTCTGTATGACCCAATATATTGCAGAATCTGAACCATATCGCGATAATCGTATCGCGAGATACTGTACCGGTATATACCGGTTTACTGGTAATATTGCACAGCCCTAGTAATAAACATGAAACCTTGACCTTTATGTTATAAATCTAGCATTCCATACACTTTGATACAGTAAATTACTTGAATTATTTAGCAGTTTACAGTTTACATCCTTGGGTGTAGGGTGAGTATGCAGATATTTTCTATGAAATATGTTTGAAATACCACCAGGTTGTAATATGTCTTATCTGCAGATAAATGGCTAGACAGGAATCAAAATAGTGCTTAAAGTATTAACATCGAATGGATGAAATATTTTCAATGTGCCCTGGCAGCACGACAAAAATCATAAAAATAATACACACCATGATTATTTAATGGAAACTGCGATAATATTTCACCAGTCTAAATGAATCCAAACCTATTTTTGCAGTCATGATAGTGTTCAATAAATCCTGCTCACTAGTTTTCAGGTTTACATGATGTTTACTGATTTATTAAACAAAAAATTGTAATTGCATAATTGTTGTGATGTTTTAAGTTAGATCATCAAAACATATGACACGCTTATTTTCACAAGGGCACACCTAAATTATCTGTCTGGTGCCTGAGTAAATACAGGGTTCGAAATACCCCATATATTAGTGTGCCATGGCACGGTAAATATTGAAATGGCACGGCTAAAAAATGTTCTCGGTGCCCTTTGACACGCCTGATTTTTCAGAGACATAACTCACATTTAGTCATTTAATCCCCAAAACAAATATTTTTTTCCAAATTGAATAATACCATACATATATGAATGCTCATAAACCCATTTCTTTATTTAACAATAAATTTCAAACGATCATCATCATTGTCATTTATTCTAAAAACATGTGGGCATACTCAATTTCTGAAAGGCACACCTAAAATATTTGTCTGGTGCCCTAAGGCACACTTAGAAAAAAAAGTATTTCTATCCCTGTAAATAGCACCTTTCAAAAACATTTCTATTCCTGCTAGACATTTTAGACATCTAGAAATGCACATTTATGTGTGGGCAGGATAAAAAAGTACATTTTAAGCCAGGAAGCAAAATCTTCAGACATTCTTTCTAAGGCACAAATGGATGTGTTTTTCTTATGTAGCGGAGATTCAAATGCGTTACTGAAGTGGACAAAAACTGTCCCTCTCTGAATCTATGCTATGTATGTCTTCAATATCTTTACAAGAATGGATGCCAGTCCCAATATGAATGCCATGCATCGTATGGCATCCATGAGACATGAAAATGGGTGACTTTTGCACATACTGTCTTTAGAGATTTTTTATATGTGTGTATATTAATCCTGCACAAGGTTATATGAACTATGCAAAAGAATTAAAATTGAAACAAATCAATATTTACATTTTATCAAAATTTAGAAACATTTCCTTGTCTTTCCTGCAAATGTATATATATTTTCAGTACCCAACCCTTGTTTATATTCTTTTAAACTCATATAATCATTCCTAAACATTTATCTTTTATATCTCAACAGTTATGATATTTTTTAAGAGGTATAAACATTCAGAAGGTAATAAAACTAATGTTAATAAGCATGAAACAAAGTTATTAGTGTTCCTGCATGTAGCAGGAACTAGTGTGTTTGCAGTGAATGAAAATCAATACTATTGCAACAATTAGGCATGTCCAGGTGACTGAGCTAACCAAAGTCAGTCAACACCTTCCAGCTGGTGTGTTATAAACAAGCTATTCTTACTTGTGTCTCCCATGCTGGCGAGGACATGCCACACGTCACTGGCCCAAGGTGAGTGTGGACACAACGTTGCTGTTCTGCCTGGCCGAGTTTGAGCCGATCACACTGTCTATACAGTTGATCACTCTGACTTTGGTACAGTCTGATTGAACACATCCACCAGAAGAGGGAGCTAGTGGTGACAGGGACTTGTTGCAAGAGGCAATAAGATTAGCAGAGGAGGAGGGTTTAGTGAGCATAAACTGTTGTCGGAGAGTGTTAGGTTATCACTGTGATTGAGAGCTGTGTCAACATTGGACAGATGAGAAACTGTGGCTGGGGAAGTCGGCATGACTCAGCTTGCTTCATAGCAGCAGATAAACGTTGCTAAACAGTCCACGCTAACCCTTTGTGTGTGAGGACAAGGGCGTCTGCCTTTCAGCTGTGAGAGGTGTTGGTGTGTTGACTTGTGTGGGGTTAAACAGATATTGCGGAATCCGCCATTGTAGTGTTCATTGACAACGATCAGGAAGTGGGTGGAGAGAGAGAGATAGCGTACAGCACGGCTGATTGAGGTCTAGGGGAAGCATTGTTGTCACCATCAGAGAGCTGATCAATATGTGACAGCGTGCGCAGTGTCTCAACTCCTCTCATAGTCAACCAGTCGTCACACACCACGGAGACAACAGCGGACACAGTCACAGTGGACGCACCCACAGACAGACAGACAGACACACACACATCACAGGTATTGACATGACCTGGAGACCAATATGGCTGTGATGTTATCTGTCTGACGTAGAACAGTAGGATACCATCAACATGGAACCGAGCTTCAAGCTTGATAAGTGGACGTACAATATGAGGTAGGCAGTTCCAACATCTATACATTCGGGTAGACTGTGATCAATGGCCACAGATACTCGCAGTACATATATCTTGTTGGGTGTGTTCGGGATGGAAGATTTTTTTGTGACAATTCTCCATAAATGTTTCCATTGTATTTCCGATTCTTTTTCAGAAAAAAGGAATGGTTAGGTTTTTAATTAGGATGGAAGGGTGTTACCTGGATTACAGTCAAGAGAAGGTGTTCTAGGGGTGTGATATTGAAGTATTAGAGGCACTGCAGACTTGCTAATTACTGGACACTGTTACACGAAGGAAATGCTATTGCCCTTATGTAACACTGAGTTGCCATTGTGTGGGATTTACAGATGCAGTACTGATTGTACTGTGGAAGTGTTATGTAGGGTGGAAAAAAGACAACACTCCCAGAAGTATTATTTCACACATCCTAGCCATGTGGGCAATTGAACCCAGACCTTTGGCATGACGTACGAATGTATTAATAAGTAATCTACACCAATGCCTGGGTAGAATAGAGACATTAATTAGTAGGTTGATGCAGGGTTTTCATTGATAATTATTTTCACCCGTCAACAAATGTGTTGGATAGAGATAATGATTGGTAGGGTGAGTTCTGAGATACAAATAAATTTATCTTTATCAGAAAATATTGACTTTATGGTTAAAGTGGTACTTCACAGGCTCACTTGTGCTTCCTGAATGTTACTTGTCTATAACAACCAGAGTTATGGTAATCATGAACCCATGGCAGGTCCGAACCAACATATTCTTGGTGGTACGGTGGATTGGGTGGCCATTTATCAAATAGCTTATATTATTACTCGCTTGTGGAAGATACTTCAGTGTAATATTTTTACGGCAATATTACACTAGTGTAATACTGCTAGACGTATGACGTCATAACTGTAAACCATTATGACGTCAAAATGCTTGACTCGCGGAAAGCTGAGAATTCACACTGCAGGCAGTTTCTATCAATTTATGTTGGAGAGTAATAAACAGAATACTAAACTTGCTTCCTCGAAGTATTATATCGTGAAAGATTTAGTATCAAACACGTTTTTGCTTGTTTGATACCAAATCATTAACTCGTTTAATAAGAATGGTATTACACGGAAGGTCGTTTAGTATCCTCTATGTGTCAGTCACTGGTTTGTCTGTTTCAGACATGATTGTATATAGGCAGCTGTGATATATCAGCAATATTGCTGAAGGATGACAGTGCTCACTGATCCGACTATATCATGTCTATGCAGATTTAACCACACTGTATTATGTCTAAAGTCATGATGCAGGAAGTGCTTGCCTATAAAAGCCTTACACACATGTGCTTTCCATCCACTGCCATTGGGGAAAAAAGGAAATTCTCCCCCAAACATGTCAAATGTATTATGTCTCTTGTTGACCAAAAGAAATCAGAATTTTAAATGAAGACCACACATTATTCCAAGACAAAAGAAGAGAAACATGGTAAACGTCCAGCAGAGACCATTTGTGTTGTGTATTATTGATGGCAGCATCCAGTGCTATTCGTTTAGGGCCAAATGTATTGATGTTGTGGAGTTAGATAATGTCATTGTCCTATCAGACCTATTTACTCCCCAGTGTTGATTTCTTTTATTATGGAGACACAAGTTACACAACAACTGTGACTCAGGTACAGTATTGAGCACACATGATTATGGATTAGCTCCCCCCCCCATGATCTTTCCCTCGCGATCCCTTCCTCTGATCCCCCACTTGTGTTCACAGTTTGGGTCAACATTGACTTTAGACATAATACAGTGTGGTTAAATCTGCATAGACATGATATAGTCGGATCAGTGAGCACTGTCATGTTATATTATTTAACATAGCATTAATATGTTAGAGCAGGACACTCCTCAGTACATTCAATGAACATTGGATGTCCACTGGTTGTGTTACATGGATGTTCTTTAATAGGTGACCACATGGGAAGTTTTAACTTAATAATGATATGGCCACTTATATAGCACTAAACTCCAAGCACATACAACATGACGGACTTTCTACCATAACTTCAGTAAATACACGAATGTGATTGGTTAATTTAAGTCTTTCAGAGGTATATAATCATGTTATATACCTCTGATTTTCCAACACTATGTTTATCTCCTAATTATTTCCCCGACTTACCCAAGCTGCTAAGCTGACTTATCCCACCAGGTACCCTTTTTCTGCTGGGTGAACAGAGGCAATTTTGAACAAACTCACCTTCCTAAGGTGAGATCAGATGTATGCTTACATGTACCACATGTAACTTCTGCCAGTCTGTGTATCATATTTCAATAATGGATGGACTCGATGGTCATGTTATCAACCACTGGTTTGGTACTTCTGATAATCATTGCAGGACATCTTGTCAGGAAACTGTTCACTCACTCGCTCAAGTTTGATGACTACTTAGTCAATGCAGACAGTGACAAATGCTTGTGATGCATTTGAACCAAAGTGATGCATCTGCTTTACCAGGTCAAATTTTGAAAATTGAGTCCAGTTCTGTGTTCTTCATATACTTGGAAAGTGGTGTAGCCTGCTGGTTAAAGCGTTCATCTGTCATGTAGAAGACCTGGGTTTGATTCCCCACATGAGGGAGTACAATGTGTGAAGCCGATTTCTTGTGTCACCTGCCATGATATTGCTGGAATATTGCTAAAAGTGGCGTAAAACAATACTCACTTGTTCACACACTTTACTAGACTTCTCTAGTAACCATCCGTTGGAGTGATCATAGCTCTCCTGTTAGTCTAACATTTCCTGTGGTAACTACAGGTGTATATAACCCTGTTATGCACAAACTTATTCTCATAGTAATTATCTAGTGTATATTTAAAACAATGACATATCTGATTATCCCACACAAACATTAAGTAGTACAAATTAATTCCTTTTTGATAGTATTCAAAGATATGGCGGGGCGGTGGGGTAGCCTAATGGTTAAAGCGTTGGCTCATCACGTCGAAGACCCAGGTTCGAATCCCCACATGGGTACAATGCGTGAAGCCCATTTCTGGTGTCCCCTGCCGTGATGTTGCTGGAATATTGCTAAAAGCGGCGTACAACCAAACTCAGTCAGTCAGTCAAAGATATGGCTGTACAATTATGAAAACCTAATCAATTACAGCATCTGTTTGTTAATTGATATTTCTGAACAGAAATACATTCTTAGGTTCAGACTGTGTTTGTCTGATTGTCTTTACTCACCCACATCTGTTGGGGTTGTTCTAACTGGGACTTCCCAATGATGAGTGTAAGGTGTGAAAAGCAAAGTGCTATAACGTCATTAAAAAATCAACGATATGTACCAAACTTGTAGATGTTAAAGAAGTCACAGGGATTTCTCATGGACTCAAATCTGTATGCAACTGCCTGTGAAAAATTATTCCCAAGAGGTTCCAGGACTCACAAATAGATATACATAGGTAATTCCATGACACTCAGCAATATGTGCCACCTTCTTATGTGTAACATTGAACATGGAGTTACTGACACTGGCAACTGCACCACAAGACCACCAGTGTCCTTGGGTAAAGACATTTCCAACGTATTACACAACAACAATGGTATGACCTGGATATGACAGATGATAATCTGGGAGAATCACGGAGGGAAAAGGTGGCACATACTGCTGGCAGAGAGTCATGGAATTACCGGAGTATATCTAATTGTGAGTCCTGACATTCTTGGGAATACTTTTTCACAAGCTAATTGGCAGTGGATTCACTCAGAAACATTGGCCACTAAACTGATCCTACTTTGGGTGACTCCTCATTGAAACATTGACTACTAAGCTTATTCCTACTTTTGGTGACACCTCATTGAAACATTTACTACTAAGCTTATTCCTACTTTTGGTGACTACTTTTGATTGACTTCCTATTTCCATTGATTTGAAACATTGAACATAGTCCAAGACCACTGAGCTTTCCACATTTGGTGACATCTCATTGAAACATTGAACATAGTCACTCTTGGTGATGCCACATGACCACTGAACTGATTCCTAGTTTTGAAACATGACATCTCAGCTGATACATGTTTTGGTGACCCTCAAACCTGAACTGCCTACTTTTGGTGACACCACACTTGAACACAATTGACCACTGAGTTTATTCCCACTTTTGGTGACACCTCACTGAAACATTGACCACTGAACTGATTCCTACTTTTGGTGACACCTCACTGAAACATTGACCACTGAACTGATTCCTACTTTTGGTGACACCTCACTGAAACATTGACAACTGAGCTGATTCCTACTTTTGGTGACACTTCACTGAAACATTGACCACTGAGCTGATTCCTACTTTTGGTTACACCTCACTGAAACATTGACAACTGAACTGATTCCTACTTTTGGTGACACCTCACTGAAACATTGACCACTGAGCTGATTCCTACTTTTGGTGACACCTCACTGAAACATTGACAACTGAACTGATTCCTACTTTTGGTGACACCTCACTGAAACATTGACCACTGAGCTGATTCCTACTTTTGGTGACACCTCACTGAAACATTGACCACTGAGCTGATTCCTACTTTTGGTGACACTTCACTGAAACATTGACAACTGAGCTGATACCTACTTTTGGTGACACCTCACTGAAACATTGACAACTGAGCTGATACCTACTTTTGGTGACACCTCACTGAAACATTGACAACTGAGCTGATTCCTACTTTTGGTGACACCTCGGTGAAACATTGATGAGTGAACTAAGCACCTTCTAACCCATTTCCCATTGGTGTGATTTTGCCCTGTGCTCTCAGTTTGTCCCCTGTTATGTTTATGTATGCATGCTTGTTGTGGAGTGACTGCTAGTGCCATATATTGCCATGTAATGGTTATGGGGACCACCGTTATGACTTGGACTATTGAGTGGTATTGATCAGACTGGACTTAGATATTGCAGATTGGCATATTTATCTGTATTGTGCGACACCACTGAGGCAGTGAATGCCTTGTATGTGTCCT